AGGAAGTTTTATACACAAATATCTTTGAACTTACCTCGTGCATGTATATACTATCGAAATCTTAACGAACGAAATAATTATTTTACTTTCGTGCTCGAACTATTTCCGAAGCATTTCCAAAGTTCTGAAATTAAACTAGTGGAAATATCGTAGTTAAATATTTAACGGGAGTAAGAGTGCTGTTAAGACCTTAAGCCTTAAGCTTGGATGCAGCTAAAATAATATATCTAAAAATAAGCACTTTTTATGTTTATGAACTAGTAGTATAGTATATTTGAACTGTCCAGTTAGTATATTTGAACTGTCTCTAAACACTCGCTGAGTGAAAACAAATTTTTAAAATAGTAAAACATTCGGTATTAATAGGATAGTTAAAGGTTACGTCGCAATCTCATTCTGGTTTTAATCGAGGAGAACGTTATTTGTTGTTCAAAGATGTTCTTTGGTACAGAATTGAAAATGAAGGAATACCCAGAATGCACAGGAATGTTAACAGGCTATAGTTGATGAATTTCATGTTTTACACACGCACTGGCGGCGTGATATTATGGGTAATATTAGTTGTGTTGGTTTGCACTCGTATGGCGGCACACCTTGCTTTATCACTCTGACACACGTATGTAGTATACATGTATACGCTGTACAAGCACAAAGAAAAACCTGCCTTTGGTTAGTGCAATCAGGAATACGTCCAGTTTCGAGAGTATATTTACTTGCGCCGAATAGATAATAAAGAATCTTATGTTCCGTTAGCGTGATCACATGGCTGACATTCTCACTCTTACTCTTCAAACCTGTTGAACTTTCCAGTTAATATTTCTACTAGAATACAGTGTTGGAAAAATATCGACTTTAGATTAGTCTCGTTACTGATCGGTAAAAAGACCGAAATTTTGGCGAGTAACGAGTAACATGATATAAAAAGAAATGTTATGGGTAACATCGACTTTAAAATTAGATTTGTTACCGATGGTAAGAAAGTTTTGAGGATAATGAGTAACGTAAAGAATCAATGATATATAAATGGGAATCTTGCCTCGTCGGTAAAGGTGTTTACTGTATTGAAAAATTTCACTCGCAATTACAATACTTTCTCAACTTTATCGATGCAACATCGATGTAGCTTTCGTTCGCGAATTTTCTTACGTACCATTATATTTCAGTTATTATATATACTCTACTGACAATTTTCAAATTTTGTGCCGAAAAGTAATTACAAGAATATTAAAAAAAAAAAAAAAAAAAAAAAAAAAAACCGA